GACAGAGAAGAAGAGAGGATGAAAGGTTCAAGGAGGCGACCCAGGGTGTTTGTCAGCACATCACCCCAAAGGGCATGACGACAATTGAAATCACCCAGCAGGAGCACAGGCTCCGGCAAGGAGTCTAGGAGGTGTTTAAGATCGGGAAGAGAAAGTGGGACAGTGGGGGGAAGATAAATGGAACAAACCGTGTACCATCTACGCACTACGTGTCCGGGTCTAAGGAGGGGGCAGTGGGCGAATCAGGGTCCAAGGCCCGGAAACGGTTGTGAGACTGAGGAAGGCGGGAAGGACGAGGAGAGGAAGAGCGCACCATGCGAGCATAGGAGACACCAGCAAGAGGGGAGACGATGAACTTGGCGCCGAGCCTCAGGAAAAGACAAACGGTCCCAGTGCTTCAAGTTGAGGACAGCCACCTCAAGTTTGTAACGAATACACGCACGGGAGAAGGTAGGGTGGGTCTCACCGCAATTGAGGCAGCGGGCCTGGGGAGAAGTGCACTCCAACTTAGAGTGACCCTCGCCTCCACACAGGGGACAGAGAGAGGCAAGACTAGAGCATTTGAGGGCACCATGCCCAAACTTCCAGCACTTACTGCAGAGCCGAGGAGATGGAATATACTCCTGAACGGAGCACCTGGCACCAGCAAGAATGAATGGATGGAAGGGTCCTACCATCAAAGGTAACCTTCACAACCCGAAGGGGCAGACGGCAATGACCACGAGGGGGACGAGTAAATGTATCCACCTGGAGGACAGAATGACCCTGGGCCTCATGGATACGCTTGATATCCTCGTAGCAGTCCTTGAGATCCCTAACACCGGTCGCAACATGGTGCGGGAGGAGAACAGTGCCAACACTGACATTCAATCGAGCATTCTACGAGATCCGTACAGGGGTTTCGCCAAGGCAGGACAAGGCGGCCAAACGAGTGGCCGCATCCTGAGAAGGAGCAGCAACGACACGGGTACCAAGACGAGTGGGGTTGAAGGTGACAGAGGCATCCACGGAATCGACAAGATGCCTATGAAGGGAAAAATTGTCAGGAGGAGTTGAATCCAAAGGTTGGAGGTCAAAGTACTTAGTCCATGTAGCAGGACCAAAGTATGGAACAAAGTAGGATGGGAAGGGAGCATACGAGAGCGGCCATGGCGGGGACGGCGATGAGAACCTGTAGAGAGAGACGGGTCGAAAGGTGCAGTAGTTACAAGAAGAGACGGAGCCGTGCAAGGGGACGAGACGGTCACCACAGCAGGCTTGGGGCTCGACCCAACCACAGAGGAGGGAGGGGAGCAGGGAGGAAGAGTCCGGTCTGGGCCTAAACCGGGTTCTGTAGTGGGGGCTACAGATCCCGGTCTTCCAGGACGGTCCGACTCAGGGGCCTGGTCGCCCACCCCATGAGCCTGGGTAAGAATAGGCAAGTCGTCATCCATATAGCAAACCAATATATAAGGGATGGGACCTAGAACCAAGGGATACCACCTACCAGGGCAGCCAGGGAGGCCGAGTGCGGGCCAGTGCAGGAAGGGTGCGTCGTCCCCAGCGGTGCTCCCCCTTTTCAACAGGGGAGTCCTACTACTTCGTTCATTCTCCCACACTGGTGCTAAGACCCCAGTCCCCCTATTGCCCCAGCCTGGACACCCAACCATCCACTCAGGGCGGCCTCTCACAGGCGACCCCTCCAGCGGGTGGTCCGATGGCTCACAAGGCCCCTACATGGTGCCCTTCAGCACGTACACCACCTAAAGAGGGGGCAGGAGAGGGGGCACAGGCAACCCACACCGGTCCCAGGGAGGTGTACGGGAGCCCCTCACCACGGCGGGGATAAAGAGTCGTAATTTGAAAATGAAAATAGGTGCAGAGAGTCTGAATTCGGCTCAAAAATCACGCTCAGGAGTCAAATTTCCCACATTTCAGATATTTTGAAAACTGCAGGGGGGTTATGGGAAAATATAACCCATCGCTGTTTTCAGTAATTGGCATATTTTTGGTATATAGAGTCGTTATATTAAAAATTAAAATAGGTGCTGAGAGTCTGAATTCGGCTCAAAAATTACACTTAGTACTCAAATTTCCCACATTTCAGATATTTTGAAAACTGCAGGGGGGGTTTGGGCAAAATATGACCCTTTGCCGTTTTTAGTAATTGGCATAGTTTCAGTACAAAAAGTCGTAATTTGAAAATGAAAATAAGTCAGAATTCGGCTCAAGGACAGGTCAGACAGCTGGTGCTCCGCGTTCGATAAAAAATGGCGTCCGTTTCCCCCCTTCCCCATTGTTGCTTCATCGCCCTCTAATACTCTATTCTTCACAGTTTCCAATCCAACCCCGTTAAGTACTCCATTAACCACATTTCCCATGCAGGTCTTTTGATTGAGTTCACTTTTCCTTCACACAGTTTGGCTATACCAATACACATTAGTCATAAACAATCACAAGCTAAAGGGCACTACTTTACTGGCGGAGTAATACGCCACTCGCGGCCTCCCAGTTGCCAGCTACAGATTTCCTTCAGGAAAACATTCTCTAATCAACTCCTTTGTGTTAATAAACAATTTGTAATAGTAACTAACCTCCACATGAGGTTAGGTTCATAACAGACGTTACATATGAGCGGAATTCATGGCGATTGTACATTATAGAGTTTTAAATTACGATTTTTTTTATACCGAAAATATTCAAATTAATACAAAAGGCGATGGGTAACTTTTTTTTCCGAAATTCACCTACAGTTTTAATAATTTAATAGTTAGCATTGTAAATGTGTGGCCACGTCTGTGGTAGAAAATAATAATAATAAACATTTTTTTTTTAATAATATCGGAAATATGACTCATGCTTATTACGTATGTGCGGAATTCATGATGATTGCACATATATGGAGTTTTAAAATACGAATTTTTATACGGAAAAACATGCAAATTAATACAAACGGTGATGAATAAAGCTGTTACACACAGAAATCACAATAGCGTGATGCATTAAATGAACAAATCCATAAGGGCCGCAACGAGGATTCGAACCTACGCCTGAGAGCATCCCAGACGCTGCCTTAATCGACTGAGCTACGACATGGTAAAAAAAAAAAGAGTTGAAACCAGAAGTTCTACCGACCTTACTTGAATCCTGCAGCCTCTCCGAGACACATGTCGTATATCAGTCGATTAAGGCAGCGTCTGGGATGCTCTCAGACGTAGGTTCGAATCCTCGTCACGGCCCTTGTGGATTTGTTCAATAACGCTGTTGCTATGATTCGATGGTTCTTTGACATTGTTTTAATAAAGGCAAGTTTCAAGTTGAGACACCTACTGGAAGTGCAGGATAAATCACATTAACTGTGCTGACGGAGCCATCACAATATTTTTGAAGAGTGTGTCAGGAAGAACTAAATTTACATGAGTAATGAAGTTGCCATCACCGACAGCCACCACCACTACCCGTCGCCTCCCTCCTCTCCTACACCTTCTCCAAAACAACTTTTAATTAAACAGCTGAAGCAAAATTCTTCTCGATTGATAAAAAGTTCAATTTCAATTGGATTAGGCCATTAACCGAAGAAATTGACAGCTAATGAACAATTACAATGATAATATATTTTGGTACCCAACACATGCGGAGAGTGTAACTGCGCAGTCGTCGTGCAACACCAACTTTGTTACTCACCACAAGCAACACTGCTACCTGCCCACAACACCAGCCAGGCAACACTGCTACCTGCCCACAACACCAGCCAGGCAACACTGCTACCTGCCCACAACACCAGCCAGGCAACACTGCTACCTGCCTACAACAGGAACTTGACAGGTACCACAACAATGCTACCTGGCCACAACAGGTACCTAACAGGTACCACAACAATGTTATTTGGCCTGGCTGACTCCATACACAGCTTCAAGTGTAGATATGACAGAGCCCAATAGGCTCAGGAATATGTACACCTGTTGATTGACAGTTGAGAAGCGGGACCAAAGAGCCAGAGCTCAGCCCCCCGCAAGCACAACAGGTGAGTACAACAATGGTCAAGGCACTGAGTGAATTAACTTAGATACACCTAAACAAAGGTGACAGCAAGCCTTCGTGTACCACACTAGACAAGGACAGTGTTGATGGTCGCTTTAACACCTACTAACACCAATACACACTGCACAAACTTTATCATCAATTAAAAATGGAATATCATATATTGTCTGTTAAAAGGAATCAGTTTAAGGCATTTTTTTTAGTAATACAAATTGAATAATTACTCCTCTGAAAGTGGACCTGGAAGGCAAAATCCATTAGGCTTTGTTAATAACATATCAATCAAAGTTTTCTAGTTCATTGGAGTGAAAAATGCAATTGTCGCAGCCATCAGCAGGCGAGGGTGAACAGAGGCTTCAGGTGCATCAATTATCTTGATGGAACTGACCTGGGCGAAACAATTACAAGTCAACCTGTCCTCTAACAGTGAACGTCGCTTTTCGGTCGTATGCGTTCCATAAGGCCAAACATTGTAGTATTAGAAAATGGAAGCGGCTGGCGAAAGTGACGTACTGTCCCGTTTTCTGTTTTGGGTCCTCTGGTAGGTTAGGGGAGACCACTTTAAATTGACCGTTTTCTTGACGGTGGAAAACCTTAGGAGAACGGACTGTACTAGTAGCTGGAAGATACCAAGGATATCATCCCCATGATTATAGACACATAATACAGAGTTATCGACATACCAAATAGCAAGTAACAAAGTTATCATCACCCAGCTCCGGTAGAGTACTCTACTCCGGTAGAGTACTCTACTCCGGTAGAGTACTCCCGTAGAGTACAGTTGGCGGATCACCAACTGTACTCTTCAACCAACAACGGAGTTTGGCCAGGAGAAAAGTCTTTTGGGACCTGGGGCATAAATAATTGCCCATCGACGACGAAGAGAGAAAAAGTCATTATTTCCCGCCCTGGGCTTATATTGGACTCCAAGATGGCGGAAGATATTCGTAGGGGACGAAGGACATGATCAAATTATGACGCTAATGTTTTTGGGAGGTGAGGCGCGCTGAGGCGCCGGCGAGGGTGAGGCGGCGCGCTGAGGCGCCAGGCGAGGGTGAGGCGGCGCGCTGAGGCGCCAGGCGAGGGTGAGGCGGCGCGCTGAGGCGCCAGGCGAGGGTGAGGCGGCGCGCTGAGGCGCCAGGCGAGGGTGAGGCGGCGCGCTGAGGCGCCAGGCGAGGGTGAGGCGGCGCGCTGAGGCGCCAGGCGAGGGTGAGGCGGCGCGCTGAGGCGCCAGGCGAGGGTGAGGCGGCGCGCTGAGGCGCCAGGCGAGGGTGAGGCGGCGCGCTGAGGCGCCAGGCGAGGGTGAGGCGGCGCGCTGAGGCGCCAGGCGAGGGTGAGGCGGCGCGCTGAGGCGCCAGGCGAGGGTGAGGCGGCGCGCTGAGGCGCCAGGCGAGGGTGAGGCGGCGCGCTGAGGCGCCAGGCGAGGGTGAGGCGGCGCGCTGAGGCGCCAGGCGAGGGTGAGGCGGCGCGCTGAGGCGCCAGGCGAGGGTGAGGCGGCGCGCTGAGGCGCCAGGCGAGGGTGAGGCGGCGCGCTGAGGCGCCAGGCGAGGGTGAGGCGGCGCGCTGAGGCGCCAGGCGAGGGTGAGGCGGCGCGCTGAGGCGCCAGGCGAGGGTGAGGCGGCGCGCTGAGGCGCCAGGCGAGGGTGAGGCGGCGCGCTGAGGCGCCAGGCGAGGGTGAGGCGGCGCGCTGAGGCGCCAGGCGAGGGTGAGGCGGCGCGCTGAGGCGCCAGGCGAGGGTGAGGCGGCGCGCTGAGGCGCCAGGCGAGGGTGAGGCGGCGCGCTGAGGCGCCAGGCGAGGGTGAGGCGGCGCGCTGAGGCGCCAGGCGAGGGTGAGGCGGCGCGCTGAGGCGCCAGGCGAGGGTGAGGCGGCGCGCTGAGGCGCCAGGCGAGGGTGAGGCGGCGCGCTGAGGCGCCAGGCGAGGGTGAGGCGGCGCGCTGAGGCGCCAGGCGAGGGTGAGGCGGCGCGCTGAGGCGCCAGGCGAGGGTGAGGCGGCGCGCTGAGGCGCCAGGCGAGGGTGAGGCGGCGCGCTGAGGCGCCAGGCGAGGGTGAGGCGGCGCGCTGAGGCGCCAGGCGAGGGTGAGGCGCGCTGAGGCGCCAGGCGAGGGTGAGGACGACCACACAGGGTCACACAACGGCTCAGGACGACCACACAGGAACACACTGTAACAATTAGCACAATTAGCAGGTTAGGGAGAGTTCGACTATGCTGGGAATGTGGCCAGTGTTGCACTCTTGGGTCGACCCCATACGCCACAGTACGATGCCTACGCTGAGTGCCAGTAACACAGGCACTCAGTGCCAGTCCACGTCAAATGACTCCTACTACTACAGCAAGCAGAGTGTTGTGAGGGAGGGAGGGAGGGAGAGATGTAGGAGGGTGTAGGGGAGAGATGGGGAGGGATAGTGATTGTGGTGGGGAAGAGTAGGGGAGACTGCACAAGAGGTGGGATTGGGACAGGGGGAGGCAGAGGGTGTGGTCATGACTATCCCTGCAATGCAGTTGCTTCTGTTGGGCTAGGTGTTGGTGGGATGGTGCTCACCTATCACCGCTTACCAATCACCACTGTTGCGTTATAATTAAACTATTCTGAGGCTAGAATTCTTTGTCGAGTGCAAGCGATGAGTCACAATAACGTGGCTGAAGAATGTTGACCAGACCACACACTAGAAGGTGAAGGGACGACGACGTTTTGGTCCGTCCTGGACCATTCTCAAGTCGACTGACTTGAAAATGATCGACTTAAGAATGGTCCAGGACGGACCGAAACGTCGTCGATCTTCACCTCCTAGCGTGTGGTCTGGTCAACATTCTTTGTCGAGTGTGACCTTAAAGCTGTGACCAGAGGTATAGCTTCCTCAGCTTCTCTCAGTGAACTCCGCGAGTCGAGCATCCGTATTGGGTGCGACTATTTCCCCCAATGTACGACAAAACCCCACTTGCCGGAAATATTGCCGGAACAACCGTGGACATTTTCAAGAGGAAACTAGATTTATTCCTCCAAGGAGTGCCGGACCAACCGGGCTGTGGTGGGTATGTGGGCCTGCGGGCCGCTCCAAGCAACAGCCTGGTGGACCAGACTCTCACAAGTGAAGCCTGGCCTCGGGCCGGGCTTGGGCAGTAGAACAACTCCCAGAACCCCATCAACCAGGTACCAGGTAACTTAGGACAAACCACCTAACCTAACCTAACCATTATATTACCTAAATTATATTTTTACCCTAATTATATTTTTAAGTAGTACTAAAGTTCGAAATAACCATAAATGGTATTAAATAGCATTAAAGTTCGTATTATAGTCCGAAAATAAACAGAAAATGGGGCTTTTATCATGTTTTAATTTAACCATTTGATGCGCTTTATCCTACTTTGTACTTGAACTGAGGGGGGTCCTGTCTTTGGGGGGGTTTGGACCCCGTATTTCCTGCCATTGGTGTTGCGATGGTGGGGGGTGTGTTGGGGGACGGGGGGGAGGAGGGTTGGGGAGGGGGGGGGGGGGAGGACCCACTAAGTAATGAAGGGCTGAGGAAGGGGATCACAGGATGATAAGTCACGGGCAAAGGACACACACTACTTCTTCCTCCCTTCTACCACGCTCCCTCATCTTCCCCTCCCTCCCCATCACTTACCTTCTCTCTCCCCCATCATCTCCCTTCTCTCTTCCCCATCATCTCCCTTCTCTCTCCCCCATCATCTCCCTTCTCTCTCCCCCATCATCTCCCTTCTCTCTCCCCCCATCACTTCCCTTATCTTAACACAGTCCCGTAACTCACTCAAACTGACTATTGCATCAAAACATTGTCTTTCATGTTCTCGCACTTGACTTATTTGACGACTTGTAACTATCTGAAGTCTCTCGTATCACGATTGTATCCTGTGGCGGGATACGAGGGCTTCCGGTGGCATACTGATGACCCAACGACCTTTCTCAAGGCATGTAACAACTCTTGTAAAACCACCTTACTCACTGCTGAGAATAATTATATTTACTTATTCTACACGCAGAAACAAAAGCTTGTCGGCCAAAGACATGTATCTCTTCCCTTCACGCGGACACAACTCCTCCGGGTCGGGAAAGTCAATATGAACCAATATATTTATAATGTGTTATAAATCACAGACCTATTTACCCAAACACAGACCCGTATACCCAAACATTAAAAATTTTGCCCCGAGGGGCGAGTTTATTGGGCAGCGGCACTCATCCTGTGAGTGAACACACCGCCATAGTGACAGTATTGGGCAGCGGCACTCATCCTGTGAGTGGACACACCGCCATAGTGACAGTATTGGGCAGCGCTACTCATCTTGTGAGTGGACACACCGCCATAGTGACAGTATTGGGCAGCGGCACTCATCCTGTGAGTGGACACACCGCCATAGTGACAGTATTGGGCAGCGCCACTCATCCTGTGAGTGGACACACCGCCATAGTGACAGTATTGGGCAGCGCCACTCATCCTGTGAGTGGACACACCGCCATAGTGACAGTATTGGGCAGCGCCACTCATCCTGTGAGTGGACACACCGCCATAGTGACAGTATTGGGCAGCGCCACTCATCCTGTGAGTGGACACACCGCCATAGTGACAGTATTGGGCAGCGCCACTCATCCTGTGAGTGGACACACCGCCATAGTGACAGTATTGGGCAGCGCCACTCATCCTGTGAGTGGACACACCGCCATAGTGACAGTATTGGGCAGCGCCACTCATCCTGTGAGTGGACACACCGCCATAGTGACAGTATTGGGCAGCGCCACTCATCCTGTGAGTGGACACACCGCCATAGCAGCATGTACAACACTCCCCAATAGGAAAAAAACCCGCTGGGTTGTTCATCCTGTCACTTGTACCCAGACACAGCTGGGACTTGCTTAACTGTCTCAAGTGAACAGCTCCTCAAACAAGAAGATTATAACATCTGTCAACCCTTAAAATCTTACGTTATCTTGCGGGTGCAAAATGGGGAAATATTATATGAACAATATCAATATTTGACAACCCACACAGACCAAACATTAACACACACACACACACGTCGCCATAACTGGTGTTTGGACTAAACATCTAACAAATTAATCCAATCACGTCTATGCCACACACAGTTACTGGACACGTCCACCAGACACGTCTATGACACACACAGTTACTGGCCACGTCCACCAGACACGTCTATGAAACACACAGTTACTGGACACGTCCACCAGACACGTCTATGACACACACAGTTACTGGACACGTCCACCAGACACGTCTATGACACACACACAGTTACTGGACACGTCCACCAGACACGTCTATGACACACACAGTTACTGGCCACGTCCACCAGACACGTCTATGAAACACACAGTTACTGGACACGTCCACCAGACACGTCTATGACACACACAGTTACTGGACACGTCCACCAGACACGTCTATGACACACACAGTTGCTGGACACGTCCACCAGACACGTCTATGACACACACAGTTACTGGACACGTCCACCAGACACGTCTATGACACACACAGTTACTGGCCACGTCCACCAGACACGTCTATGACACACACAGTTACTGGACACGTCCACGGAACACATCTATGCCCTGGAGAGTACTGGACTACTGAACAGAGAGTACTGAACCACCCCCCTACCAACAATCACCCTCCACACCATCACCATCGTGGACTGCTCAGCAACAGTTCGACCCTCACGACACCTCACCATTAGGAGTCAAGGTCCTAGACAGCTTTTAGATAACCAGTAGTGAAAATGAAGCCAAAACCATGACAGAATAGCGAAAATAAATATCGTTTCAAAGACTCCTTTATTACAATAGACTTTTAGTTATGTGATGGCGGCCGCTGCCTCCTCTCTGTTTATGTTCTTGGCGGCACGCTAATCACCTTGTTGGGTTTCCCGGTTTGTTGTTGTGTTGTTAGTAGCGGGGGCGAGGGCGTGTTGACTCCACCAATTGGCTTGTTGGTTTTTAATTTAAACTCAAATGTAATGTATGACATGGAGTTAATTTATTCTTATTTTTCGTATTAATATATATATCTGCGGAAAGCTTTAGTTTCTGTAAACAGGGATTGGTATCTCTGTTTACAGAGATACCATACTCTCTGTAAACAGAGAATTGATGTCTCTGTAAACAGAGACAATTCTCTGTAAACAGAGAATTAATGTCTCTGTTCTCTGTTTACAAGAGACAATTCTCTGTAAACAGAGAATTTATGTGAATTGATGTCCTGTAAACAGGACATCAATTCAACTACGGGACACGAATAATTCAACTGTAACGTGATAAGCAAAACATTACTGGAACAAATCAAGAGGAAATATTCTCATAAACAACACACATTTGTTATACAAACAACACCATTTATCGACTGTAGAAAAAAATACAAATATTACAGACTTGGAACAGAACATCTGTCAAGAGACGGACGGGTGAGCTGCACCTTATAAGACTGGCCTGTACTTGGTCTGACAGGAGACACCAGCCCCCACTGTATGTTGCACCCACACGGCACTCCTCGCCTCGTTACTCACGCCACAACACTACTCAACCAACACAAATGAAACAGGAGGAAAACTGTAGATATTATCCCGACATAAAAGATACTTTGAGGTATTAATCAGCGGACATGGATAGCTGAGCTGGCCTGGGAGACATGATAGAGGAGGGGATTCGAACCCCCCCGTGGGATTCGACACGTGGGAGGGGATTCGAACGGAAGTCTCGATAACGTAACTTGAAGAAAAAAAACAGCAAATTCACACCTTTGATAAGTAAACAAAAAAATGGGGCGTGTGTGAGTGGCGACTGATGTAAGGGTTTAGTGTTTACTGGGAGCTAACATGAACCAGAGGAGACCAGGTGGTGTGTGTGTGTGAGAGAGGAGACAGCAGGGGCCCGTGTGTGTGTGTGAGAGGAGACAGCAGGGGGCCGTGTGTGTGAGAGAGGAGACAGCAGGTGGCCGTGTGTGTGTGTGAGAGGAGACAGCAGGGGGCCGTGTGTGTGAGAGAGGAGACAGCAGGTGGCCGTGTGTGTGTGTGAGAGGAGACAGCAGGGGGCCGTGTGTGTGAGAGAGGAGACAGCAGGGGGCCGTGTGTGTGAGAGAGGAGACAGCAGGGGGGCGTGTGTGTGAGAGAGGAGACAGCAGGGGGC